CAGGCTTCTTCTTTGACAATGTTAAAATCCAGGTTTAAAACACTTCTGTTTCTGCTTCAACTGAGAGATTTTATTTGTATCTTTTTAATTTACTGTCAATATTTATAATTGTAATGCCTTGTTTGATTGTTTCTATCTTTTGTTCAGTGCTTTGAGTTTCCTTTTGTTTTGACTGTGCTATACAAATAAACTTGCCTTGCCTATTGCAAAAAGTATGTCTCGACCAGTGAGTGATTCTGCAGAGGTTAAGTAGGTCAATAGGACTGTAAATGGACGTCATATAAACGTCAATATTTTGGTCATATAAGACGTCGAGAGGACGTCGGACCCGACCGGTTCTGTACCACATTGCAACCTTGAATGAACGTGGCCGCGACGTCATTTGAACGTCCAGATAACGTCCAGATGACGTTGAAATGACATAGTTTTGACATCTGCTTGCTTAGTGGGAACAACGGAAAACGAACGTCATATGAAGGCAATATTTTGGTCATATAAGACGTTGATAGGACGTCAGACCCGACCGGTTCCGTACCACATTCAAACCTTGAATTGACGTGCCATCAACGTAACATTTGGAGGTTGAGGTGACGTCGGGAAACGACGTCGAGAAAACTTTCATTCTGCACCCACCAGTGACCTATATTCTATGTCGGACAACGACGTTCAAATTACGTTGATTCAACGTCGGCTTGCTTAGTGGGTGGTCTGAGAAAGGCGCTGTACGAATAAACATAACTTACTTTCCAGAACTGTTGCTCTTTTTCCTCATTCCTCTTTTTAAAACAAGATCATTTTGTGCTGTCCCATTGGAGAATCTGGTTTTCACTTTTTGTAGAGTTCAGTATCTCATCCTGGTTTTCAGGCCTGAACACTGAACAATTGAGCCACAAAACACAAACGTAGAACTTTACAAATATTGTCCTAAAGTCTGAGCACCGTGCGGACTCATGTTAGAACAGACTAAACTGTAGGCCAGAGCTTCACTCACCCAAACACTGCTCCACGGCTCGTTCCGCTCTCATGATGTAGAGTCCATAATGTGAGCTGTAGATTCAAAACCGTCTTCCTCTCTGGCCCTTCTCTCGTCTCTCTCTCTGGGCTCTCTGTGGCCACTCTCTAGTCTCTCTCTGGTCTCTCTCTCTGGTCACTTTCTGGTCTCTCTCTGGTCTCTCTCTGGTCTCTCTCTGATCTCTTTCTCTGGTCTCTCTCTCTGGTCTCTCTCTCTGGTCACTTTCTGGTCTCTCTCTGGTCTCTCTCTAGTCTCTCTCTGGTCTCTCTCTGGTCACTTTCTGGTCTCTCTCTGGTCTCTCTCTGGCCCTTCTCTGGTCTCTCTCACGTCTCTCTCTCTGGTCTCTCTCTGGTCTCTCTCTGGTCTCTCTCTGATCTCTCTCTGATCTCTCTCTGATCTCTCTGGTCTTTCTCTGGTCTCTCTCTCTGGTCTCTCTCTATGGTCTCTCTGTGGACTCTCTCTCTGGTTTCTCTTTCTGGTCTCTCTCTGGTCTCTATCTCTGGTCTCTCTCTCTGGTCTCTCTCTGGTCTCTCTCTCTGGTCTCTCTGTGGACTCTCTCTGTGGACTCTCTCTCTGGTCTCTCTCTGGTCTCTCTCTGGTCTCTCTCTAGTCTCTCTTTGGCCTCTCTCTGGCCTCTCTCTGGTCTCTCTCTGGTCTCTCTCTAGTCTCTCTCTGGCCTCTTTCTGGTCTCTCTCTCTGGTCTGTCTCTCTGGTCTCTCTCTCTGGTCTCTCTCTCTGGTCTCTCTCTGGTCTCTCTCTGGTCTCTCTCTCTGGTCTGTCTCTCTGGTCTCTCTCTCTGGTCTCTCTCTCTGGTCTCTCTCTGGTCTCTCTCTGGTCTCTCTCTCTGGTCTCTCTCTGGTCTCTCTCTGGTCTCTCTCTGGTCTCTCTCTGGTCTCTCTCTCTGGTCCGCTCTCATGATGTAGAGTCCATAATGTGAGCTGTAGATTCAAAATCGTCTTCCTCTCTGGCCCTTCTCTGGTCTCTCTCTCTGGGCTCTCTCTCTGGCCTCTCTCTCTGGTCTCTCTCTCTGGTCTCTCTCTCTGGTCTCTCTCTCTGGTCTCTCTCTCTGGTCTCTTTGTGGACTCTCTCTCTGGTCTCTCTCTGGTCTCTCTCTCTGGTCTCTCTCTGGTCTCTCTCTGGTCTCTCTCTAGTCTCTCTCTGGTCGCTCACTGGGCTTTCTCTGGTCTCTCTCTGGCCTCTCTCTGGTCTCTCTCTGGTCTCTCTCTCTGGGCTCTCTCTCTGGCCTCTCTCTCTGGTCTCTCTCTCTGGTCTCTCTCTCTGGTCTCTCTCTCTGGTCTCTCTCTCTGGTCTCTCTGTGGACTCTCTCTCTGGTCTCTCTCTGGTCTCTCTCTCTGGTCTCTCTCTGATCTCTCTGGTCTCTCTCTTGTCTCTCTCTGGTCTGTCTCTGGTCTCTCTCTCTCTGGTGTCTCTCTCTGGTCTTTCTCTGGTCTCTCTCTGGTCTCTCTCTGGCCCTTCTCTGGCCTCTCTCTGGCCTCTCTCTGATCTATCTCTCTGGTCTCTCTCTGGTCTCTCTCTCTGTTCTCTCTCTGGTCACTCTCTGGTCTCTCTCTGGTCTCTCTCTGGTCTCTCTCTGGTCTCTCTCTGGTCTCTCTCTGGTCTCTCTCTGGTCTCTCTCTCTGGTCCGCTCTCATGATGTAGAGTCCATAATGTGAGCTGTAGATTCAAAACCGTCTTCCTCTCTGGCCCTTCTCTGGTCTCTCTCTCTGGGCTCTCTCTCTGGCCTCTCTCTCTGGTCTCTCTCTCTGGTCTCTCTCTCTGGTCTCTCTCTCTGGTATCTCTGTGGACTCTCTCTCTGGTCTCTCTCTGGTCTCTCTCTGGTCTCTCTCTGGTCTCTCTCTCTGGTCCGCTCTCATGATGTAGAGTCCATAATGTGAGCTGTAGATTCAAAACCGTCTTCCTCTCTGGCCCTTCTCTGGTCTCTCTCTCTGGGCTCTCTCTCTGGCCTCTCTCTCTGGTCTCTCTCTCTGGTCTCTCTCTCTGGTCTCTCTCTCTGGTATCTCTGTGGACTCTCTCTCTGGTCTCTCTCTGGTCTCTCTCTCTGGTCTCTCTCTGGTCTCTCTCTGGTCTCTCTCTCTGGTCTCTCTCTGGTCTCTCTCTGGTCTCTCTCTAGTCTCTCTCTGGTCTCTCTCTGGGCTTTCTCTGGTCTCTCTCTGATCTCTCTCTGGTCTCTCTCTTGTCTCTCTCTTGTCTCTCTCTGGTCTGTCTCTGGGCTCTCTCTCTGGTCTCTCTCTGGCCCTTCTCTGGCCTCTCTCTGGTCTCTCTCTGGTCTCTCTCTCTGGTCTCTCTGGTCTCTCTCTGATCTATCTCTCTGATCTATCTCTCTGGTCTCTCTCTGGTCTCTCTCTCTGGTCTCTCTCTCTGGTCACTCTCTGGTCTCTCTCTGGTCTCTCTCTGGTCTATCTCTCTGGTCTCTCTCTGGCCTCTCTCTGGTCTCTCTCTGGTCTCTCTCTGGTCTCTCTCTGGTCTCTCTCTGGTCTCTCTCTCTGGTCTCTCTCTCTGGTCTCTCTGGTCTCTCTCTGGTCTCTCTCTGATCTATCTCTCTGATCTATCTCTCTGGTCTCTCTCTGGTCTCTCTCTGGTCTCTCTCTCTGGTCTCACTCTCTGGTCTCTCTCTGGTCTCTCTCTGGTCTCTCTGGCCCTTCTCTGGTCTCTCTCTGGTCTCTCTCTCAACAATATATATAGCACGGTTACCATCAACATACATGATACTATATATAACACTTACCATTAACATACATGATACTATATATAACACACGTACCATTAACATACATGATACTATATATAACACTTACCATTAACATACATGATACTATATATAACACTTACCATTAACATACATGATACTATATATTACACTTACCATTAACATACATGATACTATATATAACATGCTTACCATTAACATACATGATACTATATATAACACTTACCATTAACATACATGATACTATATATAACACTTACCATTAACATACATGATACTATATATAACATGCTTACCATTAACATACATGATACTATATATAACACTTACCATTAACATACATGATACTATATATAACACGCGTACCGCTTGTGTATCATCAGGAGATATACAGCTGTGTATCATCAGGAGATGTACGGCTGTGTGTCATCAGGAGATGTACGGCTGTGTGTGTACAGGATAAAGTTGTGAATGTGATGTCATTATCGACGATCTCCTCTTATTTTGAGATTCGACGTTTACTGTTTTATGTTTCTGTTTGTTGTCTGTAATAAAGTTGTCCGTCTGAAAAGGCTTTGAGCTGAATAAAAACAGGATAAAAACAGGATAAAAACAGGATACCGGTCTGTAGTTCCTCTGAAGACTGCATGACATCACTTTGCTTTAGTTAAGTTCACAAGGTATGGATACTTTTGCAACTTTCACATTTGAAGTGAACAGAGACCCTTTAGGGACCGAGGACTAATGAGGCTCCAGGGACCAGACCAGGACCGGACCAGCACCAGACCAGGAACAGACTAGGACCACAGCAGCACCAGACCAGGACCAGACTAGGACCAGACCAGAACTGGACCAGACCTGGATCAGGACTTGGATCAGGATCTGGACATGATTAGGACCAGGACAAGGATCTGGACAAGGACTTGGACCAGGACCAGACCAGACTTGGACCTGTACCTAAACCAGACCAGACCTGGACCTTGCGGAGTTCGTCGATGAAGCGTTGTTGTGAAAACATTGCAAGTGTTTTGACCGCGCTGCGTCCTGATTGGTCCAAAGGGACACAATTACCTCGTCCCTCTGCGGACATGTGACCGGACCGAGGCCTCTGATTGGCCCCTGGGGAGTGTACAGTAAACAGTGTTCTGATGATGATGATGATGAAAGCCTCATGGGACGAAGACTTTCAGCAGAAACGTCAATTAACAAGAGCCCCCTGGTGGAAGACAATGGTACTGCAGACTCACCTGGTGGAAGACGATGGTACTGCAGACTCACCTGGTGGAGGACTATGATACTGCAGTGCAGACTCACCTGGTGGAGGACGATGGTACTGCAGACACACCTGGTGAAGGACAGTGGTACTGCAAACTCACCTGGTGGAGGACACAGACTCACCTTGTGGAGGACGGTGGTACTGTCTCTGCACTGGCTTCCTGTGGCTCAGAGAATAGACTTTAAAGCAGCTCTACTTGTTACAAGTCTCCTCATGGCCTCGCACCAAAATATATTATTGACCTGTTAGTCCCATATGAACCAGCCCGGACTGAGCACAGGGACTGGCCTCCTGCTGGGACTCTGAGGAGCACAGGGACTGGCCTCCTGCTGGGACTCTGAGGAGCACAGGGACTGGCCTCCTGCTGGAACTCTGAGGAGCACAGGGACTGGACTCCTGCTGGGACTCTGAGGAGCACAGGGACTGGCCTCCTGCTGGGACTCTGAGGAGCACAGGGACTGGCCTCCTGCTGGGACTCTGAGGAGCACAGGGACTGGCCTCCTGCTGGGACTCTGACGAGCACAGGGACTGGCCTCCTGCTGGAACTCTGAGGAGCACAGGGACAGGACTCCTGCTGGGACTGTGAGGAGCACAGGGACTGGCCTCCTGCTGGGACTCTGAGGAGCACAGGGACTGGCCTCCTGCTGGGACTCTGAGGAGCACAGGGACTGGCCTCCTGCTGGGCCCAGAGTCAGGACTAAACATGAGGAGGCTGCATTTCAGATTTACGCAGCAAAAAATCTGGAAGAGTCTTCCTGAAAATGTGAGAGAGGCGTCAAACAAGGCGCGTCACTGACGTTTTGAAGCTTTTGGTGTGAACACAACTTTAGACCAGGGAGGTGGTACCTGTGCTAACATCAGGAGGCCCCTGGACTCTGTGGAGGAGGTGAGGAGCTCTTTCAGTGGAAGCAGGAGCAGGGCCTTTATCCCCACCGCTGTCAGACTGTACAATAAGTCACTTTAAGTCACTAATGCACTAGGACTGAAGAACCTGCTGCCATTGCCACTTTTTATTGTTCATAATTATGTCCTAAACAGACTTTATTTTAACTTTAATATGTTTCACTTTTCAGAAGAGAGAGGACAGAGGAGAGAGGACAGAGGACAGAGGACAGAGAAGAGAGAAGAGAGGAGAGAGGAGAGAGGACAGAGGACAGAGAAGAGAGGAGAGAGGACAGAGAAGAGAGGAGAGAGGACAGAGGACAGAGAAGAGAGAAGAGAGGAGAGAGGAGAGAGGACAGAGGACAGAGAAGAGAGGACAGAGGACAGAGAAGAGAGAAGAGAGGAGAGAGGAGAGAGGACAGAGGAAGAGAGAGAGAGAGAGGAGAGAGGAGAGAGGACAGAGGCCAGAGGACAGAGGACAGAGGAGAGAGGAGAGAGGAGAGAGGAGCAAGGACAGAGGAGAGAGGAGAGAGGAGCTGTATCGCCCTTTATGTTTTTATAATCATCCGCACCACACTCTGTAGTAAGGCCTCCCACACACACACACACACACACACCAGACACATACACAGACAAACACACATATACGCAGGCAAATACAGACACACACACACACACAGACAGTTTTGATTGACAGGTGCTGTTTTGAGGGGGCGGGGCTTAAAATGTCCTTCATAAAAAGCTGCAGCGTCTCGTCTTCTTCATTTTCAGCTCGAACTCAGACACACACAATATAGTCACAATACACACAACATACTCACAATACACATACTACACCCAATATATACTCACAATACATATATTATACATACATTATACAATATGCACACCACATCATGCACACAGTATACACACAAAATACACACATTATACACACTATATTCAAGCTGTTTGTGCGTTGTGTGTCGTGTTCTTTGTATTGTTTTTGTTTTGAGGCTTCGGTTCAAACTTTTCTTCTGAATGTTTTTGTGATTTTAACTTTAACTGAATCAGCGGCAGGTTTTCATCACTGAGTCTGTGCTCTTTCTCCTCTTCCTCTTCATCCTCCTCATTCTCTTCCTCCTAAATGATTGAACATGTTTTAACTTGTGCTTGGGTCTGACCTCGTTTGGGCCAGTGTGAGACCTTGACCTTGACCCCTGACCCTTGACCCCTAACCCTTGACCCTTTAAAGCCCAGCTTTAAAGTCACAGACCCCAGCTTTAACGTTACAGACCCCAGCTTTTGCTTATAGTGTTTATTTAACGTATATTTCTGAACTTTTAACACCCTACGAGCCCTCCCGCAGCCTTAGATCCTCGGGCAGGTCCCTGTTGACTGTTCCAAGGTCGAGGCTCCGGACGAAAGGAGACCGAGCCTTCTCTGTCCGGGCTCCTCGGCTTTGGAACGACCTGCCCGAGGAGATAAGGCTAGCACCATCAATATCCTCTTTTAAAACACTTCTTAAGACCCACTTTTATCAAACAGCTTTTAACTGTTAGTTTTAAACTTCCCATGCTGTATTTTAATGTCCGCTTTGTCTTTGTTGTGTCTCTTTTGTGTTTTGCTCTGTTTGCTTTGTGTTTCTGTATCTAATTATTTTGACCTTGTATTTTGACTGTTTTTATTGTTTATCATGCTGACTGTGCAGCGCTTTGTAAACATTGTTTTTAAAAGTGCTATACAAATAAAGATTATTATTATTATTATTATATTTGAACAAGAAAGTAAAGTGAGGTGTTGTCCTGAGTCTCTCTCTCTCTTCTCTCTCACTCCCTCTCTCTCCCTCTCTCTTCTCCCTCTCTCTTCTCTCTCACTCCCCCTCTCTCTCTCTCCCTGTCTCTTCTCTCTCTCTCTCTCTCTATCTGCTGCTTTCTCCTCTTAACAATAATCATAACTATTAATTACCACTGTAATACTCCGGCTCAAGATAAACATGTTTTAATTCAAGAAACTGTGCTTTTAGTCTGCTCTGCACTCTCCCCCTTCTCCCCCCTCTCTCCTCACTCCCCCCTCTCTCCTCCTCTACCCTCTGCACTCACCCCCCTCTCCCCTCACTCCCCCCTCTCTCCTCTCCCCCCTCTCTCCTCCCCACTCCACCCTCTCTCCTCCTCACTCCCTCCTCTACCCCCTCCTCCCCCTCAGATGGAGAACTCCTCGTCCTTCCTGTTTGAGCTCTCTGGTCTGGATGTGTCTGTGTCTCAGCGCCATGTTTACGTGGGCTTGGCGTTGTGGTCGTACGGCGTGACCTTGTTGTTTAACGTGCTGCTGGTGGTGGCGGTGGCGGTGCAGAAGGCGCTGCATCAGCCCATGTACGTGTTCATTGCTAACGTGTGCGTGAACGGCATGTTTGGCGCCTCCAGCTTCTACCCCAAACTGGTGCACGACCTTCTGCGCGGCCTCGGCACCGTGACGTACAGCGGCTGCATCGTGCAGATGTGCGCCATCTACACCTACGTGTTCTGTGAGTTTACCAGCCTCACTGTCATGGCGCTGGACCGTTACCTCGCCATCTGTCGCCCGCTGAGCTACCACAGCGTGATGACGCGGCGCACGCTAGTGCAGCTGCTGGCGCTGACCTGGGCGCTGGCGCTGTTGGAGACGATGACGGGGGCGGTGCTGACCACGCGGCTGCCGCTGTGCGGGACGCGGCTGTCCAAGTTCTTCTGCACAAACTGGGAAGTGGTGAAGCTGTCGTGCAGCGACACCACGGCCAACAACATCTTCAGCTACGTGCTGCTGCTGTGGCAAGTGCTGCAGACGGCGCTCATCGTGGGCTCGTATGTGGGGCTGGTGCGCGCCGCGCTGCGCTCTCAGGCCGACCGCAGCAGGGTCTTGCAGACGTGTGTGCCGCACCTGCTGGTGCTGCTACTGTTTCTCGTCTCCAACACCTTTGACTTCATGTTCTCCAGGTACGGAGTCGGCGTGGTGGGCACCGCGCTCAGCAACGTGCTTGCCGCAGAGTTCCTGGTGGTGCCGCCGCTGCTGAACCCGGTCATCTACGGCATCAAGATGCAGCAGATCCGATCGCCCATCACCGCGCTGCTGCACCGGCTGTTCAGGCGCACAGAGGCCGCACGCTGAGGTCACATGACCCTCTGTGGTGACATCACACTGCTCTACAGCGCCCCCTGTGGTCAGCCTCCTACAGCGCCCCCTGTGGTCAGTCTCCTACAGCGCCCCCTGTGGTCAGCCTCCTACAGCGCCCCCTGTGGTATGAAGAGATAGAGACCTTCCAGATAAACACTGTATCACACATAAACCTCACAGTTCCCAGTAATAAACATTGTTGTCATGAGAGACTGTGATTTCATGATATTCTGAGTTTTGTCACTGACCCTGAACCTCTCTCTTGAAACAAAAGGCCATATAATGTTTTAGAACATTTAAAATGGCTTGTTCAGTTTATAAGATTTTGCATGGACTCTCTCCACCATCCTTGAATGAATTCATTAAGTTCATATCCAGTACAAGTGGTAGAGTGACCAGAGCCACCACCAGAAGTGACTGTGTGGTTCCTTATAGACGCACAGCGTTTAGTCAACAGGTGCTGTCAGTGAAAGGGACCACGGTATGGAACAGCATCCCAGCAGAAATTCGAGACTGTACTACATTCATAGTATTTAAAACTAAACTTAAAGGTTGGCTGAAGGGGAATCAGACATGTAACCACTGACCAGTATCTTTGTTTTATGTCTCCAGTTTAATTGTGTGGATGATTTGTGTGATGATCTTTTGTCTTTTAAATGTCGTATATTAGTCTTTGTATTTTCTTGATCTGCCAGGGACTACAGATGGAAAGTAGCCATTGGCTAATTCTGGCATATTTACATTTACAGGTTCATTAATATGCATTGTCCCTTTAAATAAATAAATAAATAAATAAAAATAAATAAATAAATAAATAATGAAGTATAACATGCCAGAGTTGACCATCACATCAGTGCTGCCTGAGTCTGACCGGCCTGGTGCAGTCTCACTGGAGCTTTATCTACTCTCAGAACTCTTTTTTTATTTCTTTAATGTATAGTTCTATTATGTGTGTGATGTATGGTGTAGTGGAAATTTAAATACTTCAATGAATGGATCCGAGAGAAAACAGCTTGTCTTTGTGCAATTTATTTAAAAGGTGGTGAGAATAAACAAATAAAATAAAACTCTGCAGAGTCAGACAGAAGTGACGCACACTCAAAGTCTGCGTCGTCTCTCTCTGCCCTGCTCACATCTAACATTTGGTAATATAGTCCTGCGAAAAGCTAGAACAAAGAACAAGACATGCCACAGTGGGGTTAAGGTGGGTTGAGTTATGCAGGAAGACGAGGTAAAAGAAGGGAGGGGAAAAGAATGATAGTACACCTGTCAAACATTTAACATTATAACGAGCAAAGGAATGGTACATGGTACCGTCGCCTCAGCGAAGGTCATGTGACAGTCAACATGCAGGTTAAGCGAAGTGTGTTGAACGAGTGTCGACGAGACCATACGTCGGATCAACGAACAAATAAAAGGAATGACACAAGATGACATCACTATCAGCAACACTAATACAACTCCAAGTCCAGTACCTATTTGAATCAACCACGCTCGCCAGTCTGAAAACCATGAAGCATCTAGAACGAAATCACGGTGAACCGCATTGCAGATTTTGAATACCCTGTGCAATGATCCCATCATCGGCACTGTTATCAGGAATATACAGTGCCTTGCGAAAGTATTTGGCCCCCTTGAACCTTTCAACATGTCGCCACATTTCAGGCTTCAAACATAAAGATATAAAAATTCAAATTTTTGTCAAGAATCAACAACAAGTGGGACACAATCGTGAAGTGGAACGAACAGTATTGGATAATTTAACCTTTTTTAACAAATAAAAAACTGAAAAGTGGGGCGTGCAATATTATTCGGCCCCCTTACGCTAATACTTTGTAGCGCCACCTGTTGCTGCAATTACAGCTGCAAGTCGCTTGGTGTATGTCTCTATCAGTTTTGCACATCGAGAGACTGGAATTCTTGCCCATTCTTCCTTGCAATACAGCTCGAGCTCAGTGAGGTTGGATGGAGAGCGTTTGTGAACAGCAGTCTTCAGCTCTTTCCACAGATTCTCGATTGGATTCAGGTCTGGACTTTGACTTGGCCATTCTAACACCTGGATACGTCTATTTGTGAACCATTCCATTGTAGATTTGGCTTTATGTTTTGGATCATTGTCCTGTTGGAAGATAAATCTCCGTCCCAGTCTCAGGTCTTTTGCAGACTCCAACAGGTTTTCTTCCAGAATGGTCCTGTATTTGGCTCCATTCATCTTCCCATCAATTTTAGCCATCTTCCCTGTCCCTGCTGAAGAAAAGCAGGCCCAAACCATGATGCTGCCACCACCATGTTTGACAGTGGGGATGGTGTGTTCAGGGTGATGAGCTGTGTTGCTTTTACGCCAAACATATCGCTTTGCATTGTGGCCAAAAAGTTCGATTTTGGTTTCATCTGACCAGAGCACCTTCTTCCACATGTTTGGTGTCTCCCAGGTGGCTTGTGGCAAACTTTAAACGAGACTTTTTATGGATAACTTTGAGAAATGGCTTTCTTCTTGCCACTCTTCCATAAAGGCCAGATTTGTGCAGTGCACGACTGATTGTTGTCCTATGGACAGACTCTCCCACCTCAGCTGTAGTTATCTGCAGTTCATCCAGAGTGATCATGGGCCTCTTGGCTGCATCTCTGATCAGTTTTCTCCTTGTTTGAGATGAAAGTTTGGAGGGATGGCCGGGTCTTGGTAGATTTGCAGTGGTCTGATACTCCTTCCATTTCAATATAATTGCTTGCACAGTGCTCCTTGAGATGTTTAAAGCTTGGGAAATCTTTTTGTATCCAAATCCGGCTTTAAACTTCTCCACAACAGTATCTCGGACCTGCCTGGTGTGTTCCTTTGTCTTCATGGTTCTCTCTGCGCTTTAAACAGAACCCTGAGACTATCAAAGAGCAGGTGCATTTATACGGAGACTTGATTACACACAGGTGCATTCTATTTATCATCATCAGTCATGTAGGACAACATTGGATCATTCAAAGATCCTCACTGAACTTCTGGAGTGAGTTTGCTGCACTGAAAGTAAAGGGACCGAATAATATTGCACGCCCCAATTTTCAGTTTTTTATTTGTTTAAAAAGTTAAATTATCTAATACATTTCGTTCCACTTCACGATTGTGTCCCACTTGACAAAAAATTGAAATTTTATATCTTTATGTTTAAAGCCTGAAATGTGGCGAAATGTTGAAAGGTTCAAGGGGGCCGAATACTTTCGCAAGGCACTGTACAGTAAGTACAACAAGCGGTCTGATTAAGTAAAACACAAACACCTCCACTTGAAGCAACCAAATGATCCAAAACAATCCGATTTTGTAAAGCAACGGCACGCAACGCATTCACTTCAACTCTGTTGGCCTCTAGAATAGTTACAGTTGAATTCACAAAACTTGAAAACCGATAATTTAAAGTTTCCATTCTAAGCATAACCTTCCCTACACCAAGCTGAGGGAACAAAGATAATTACTTTTGTTGGCTTAGTCCACAGTTCGTGATCATCTGGAACATCCGTTCCCCAAACTGCATCATGAGCAGCAAAATCGGGCTTACCTCGCGATCTAGGAATGGCAGAGATGATGTAAGAGTGATCTGAATCAGAGTGATCTTATCAGAGCACAACGACCTATTCAATGAAATGGTAGCTTCACATAGACATTGTAGCCACACAACCACAAAACACCCTTCAGAGGAAGAGTTCCTGTTTGGTCAGGAACTGTGAAATATGGAGAACATCTACTACCTGGAGCGGCCTGAGAAGTGTTTAAACTTGAATTACCATGAAAAGAAGTACACGGACTAGACACATTTAAACAAAATGACATTGGGATCCGTCCCATCTGTATAGGAGAATCTGTAAAGGTCATGGATAGAGTATAACATACAAATTTAGTACCAGGTCTGATATGTACCGGACCAAAAATGGGACCTTTTACATCATTAATCCAATAATTGAAGAAATCAGAATTAACAGCCGGTTTGAGTGGAGGGAGACATTTACCTGTGCGCTCTGTGACAGTCTCATTGAGAAACTTAACAGAGACAGTTGAATACAGAACCTTTGGAAAATGTGTAAATGCATTAACTATTGGTAGAGGTGTGATGTGAGGGTTTGATGACGCAAATATGGCATATGAGTACAAGTGTAACAATTTGAGCGATTTTGTGAGTCTGCTATGAATTTTGCATATTGATACCACAAATTAAGTGTGTACACACTGGAGTGATTCATTGACTTAGCCAAAACATGCGAGAGAACATTTATTCTCCCAATCCCAATCCCAATCATTGTGTTTCCAGTGGAAACACAATGAGGAAGGAAATGAACATGAGCACACACAAAGTCTTTCTCATCCCGCAAAACCCCTGCTTGTCACGGGGTGGGAAGGAGGAGGACTCAAAATGCAAAATTCAGGAATGCTAAAAATAATGATTTTATAAAATAAATGTCCAGGTGTAAACAAAACTCAAAATACAAAATACTAAACCAGGAACACAAAACCAGGAACAGAACAGAAGTAGACAATACAATGAACCAGCAACAAGAGGAAAGGAGCACAGGGTACATATAGACACAGACACAGGTGAAACACATCAGGACAGGGCAGACAATCAACATAGGGGAACAAGACAGGAAGTTCAACTAAAACCAAACTTATGTCAAAATAAAACCAAATCCACACCATGACACTGCTGCCTGAATGGATGCCAGGGATCGTCCTCCCTTTTGTCGCTCATCTTGGACTTGGCATGGCACTTGTTGATCTTCTTTGTGTTACCTATCTTCTGCTCATCTATGACCTAGGAGTGTAGTTACCAGCACTTTTCTCCTGATGCAGCTAACAATGTATTTCTAACAATGTTTTACGTTGGGAGGGGGTAGTGTGTGTGTGTGTGACCCTCCTTTCGCGTTGGGAGGGGGTAAGATGTACCCCTCCGTATGCTTCCGTTGTGCGCTCCGCAAGAAGAGCTGGGACTTGTTTGCAGTGCGACGCGTGGACCCAA